CAATTTTTGTATATTCTACAAAGTTGTGTTCCTCTGTGATCTGTCCTTTGCTTATAATGTGTGGTTTTGTGCCTCTGTGAAATTCCTCATGCATTAGCAAACCAAAGAGCCTTAGGATATTTTCCAAATAAATAGTCAAAGATAGTGTGTATTTCATATTCATGTAAGAGGTTTCATGTTAAGTAGCCATTGAAAACACTTTTCTTTCTCTTTTAAATGTTTCATTACTAATGTGCTGGAATAACAATATGCAAATGTGTTATAATCTTTATAGCACTTTGTAAAGGTGTAATCAACCCCAAATACTTTATATGTTAATAATTGGAAAGGACCATGTTAAGTTATTAAAAAGTGCGTATGAATTTGCAGGAAAGGGGGATTCTGAATTAACTGGTAGTTTGTCTTGTTTCTATTTTATTTTATTTTATTTTATTTTATTTTATTTTATTTTATTTATTATGCTATTACAGTTGTCCCATTACCCCCACTTCATTCCCCTCCGACCTACATGCCCTGTCCAACCCACATTCGCCCCCTTTAGTTCATGTCCATGTGTCATAAGTTCTTTAGCTTCTACATTTCCCACACTATTCTTGCCCTCCCCCTGTCTATTTTCTACCTATCATCTATGCTACTTTTCCCCTCTCTCTTCCTCCCACTTCCCTGTTGCTAACCCTCCATATGATCTCCATTTTTGTGATTCTGTTCCTGTTCTAGTTGCTTGCTTACTTTGTTTTTGTTTTTGTTTAAGTGTGGTTGTCAATAATTGTGAGTTTGCTCTCATTTTACTATACATGTTTTTTATCTTCTTTTTCTTAGATAGGTCCCTTTAACATTTCATATAATAAGGGCTTGGTGATGATAAACTCCTTTAACTTGACCTTATCTGAGAAGCACTTTATCTGCCCTTCTAAATGAAAGTTTTGCTGGATAGAGCAATCCTGGATGTAGGTCCTTGCCTTCCATGACTTGGAATACTTCTTTCCAGCCCCTTCTTGCCTGTAAGGTCTCTTTTGAAAAATCAGCTGACAGTCTGATGGGAACTCCTTTGTAGGTGACTGTCTCCTTATCTCTTGCTGCTTCTAGGATTCTCTCCTTCATTTTTACCTTGGCTGATGTAATTATGATGTGCCTTGGTGTGTTCCTCCTTGGGTCCAACTTCTTTGGGACTCTCTGAGCTTCCTAGACTTCCTAGAAGTCTATTTCCTTTACCAGATTGGGGAAGTTCTCCTTTATTATTTGTTCAAATATCTTTTCCACTTGTTGCTCTTCCTCTTCTCCTTCTGGTACCCCTGTAATTCAGATGTTGGAACATTTAAAGATGTCCTGGAGGTTCCTCAGCCTCTCCTCATTTTTTTTGAATTCTTGTTTCTTCCTTCTTTTCTGTTTGGTTGTTCCTTTCTTCCTTCTGGTGCACTCCATTGAGTCCCAGTTTCTTTCCCATCACTACTGGTTCCCTGTACATTTTCCTTCATCTCTCTTATTGTAGCCTGCATTTGTTCATCTAATTTGCAACCAAAATCAACCAATTCTGTGAGCATCTTGATCACCAGTGCTTTGAACTGTGCATCTGATAGGTTGGCTATCTCTTGGTCGCTTAAAAGTACTGATAATGGGGCTTTCAATTCTGTTTGAGCCATATTTTTCTTTTTTTTTTTCCTTTGGGCTGCTCTCGCCTGTTACGTATGAGGGGCAGAGCCTTAGGTGTTCACCAGGGTGGGACGCCCCAGTTGCTGGGTTGTGAAGTTGTATGTGGGGGTGGGGTCTGAGAGGGAACAATGGCACTTGCTCAGCTCTCTGTCGGACCTCAGTCCCTTCCGCCTCTTCCCCCGAGCAAACTGGGCCCCTTTGGTGCCAATTCTCATGTGGGTGGGCTTTTGCACTATGTGGAACTCTCCAAGGACCTCTCCTGTGAGCCTGGGAGTCTCTCCCTGCACCTCAACCCCCACAGGTGTTTTCAGTCAATGTCCAGAGGCTCTATTTCCCAGCGCTGTGATCCTGGGTTGCACGCAGTGCTTTGCTTCACAATTCCCACCTCACTGGGTCTGCTGTTTGCCACCCCTCAGCAGCGGTCTGCCAGCTGCTGCTTGCACACTCAGGGTCCACTCACTGAAGTCTTGCATGCCCTGGATGCCTTAGGTGCGGGTCCCAACGCTCTCTGCTCTCTGTGCGGAGATCTGAGCCTGGCTGCCCGACTCCGCCCCTCCTACAGGGCTAGATGAATGGGTCTATTTTAACTTCTTGGTTGTCCGATTTCCATACAGTTCGATTTTCTGTCAGTTCTGGTTGTTATTCTGTTTCTGAATTGTTGTTCCTATCTTGGTTGTGCAAGGAGGCACAGTGTGTCTACCTATGCCTCCATCTTGGCCAGAAGTCCCTGTCATGTTTCTATTTCAAAGGAGATTCAAGCTTACTGGTAGCTTAATCACATGACTTTAGAGATCCTAAGAAAGGTATAACAACTTGATTCTGCATTTTTCTTCAGTAAGACAAAAGATTAAGCAAATATTTGTCAAGGAAGGAACAAATATACCTTGTAAAATAACCTTGCACTTATAATTTGTACGATGTAAAAGTTGCAGTTTGCTTTTTTGAACCTTTTACTGTTGTTTAAAAGAACCCATATTCACCATTTTAGACATATCATTCCTGTTCACTTCATGTCTAGTCATTTTTAAAAATTCTTCTGTCTATGAATTTGAGCTCAATTTTTTCATTCACTGAAACTATAAATTGATACCACTCATTTTGTCAGTCTTTTTTTTTTTTTAATGTTACCTTTTTTTGTTCAGGAAAAGGCTGTAGTATTCCATATCTTTCACCCAAATTTCTTTACTAAAGTGACCCAAAATACATTTTTGGGATTGTTTTTGAAGTATTATCTTTGTATTCCAAAGCAGGCCCTTCTGAAACTGATGATGTTGATGACAAGCTCCCCCTTTCGAAGTCTTTGCAAGGTATATATAACTTTTCACTTCCATTTTCCCCCATACTGTTTTTATTCAATGTTTCTTTATATTGGACGGACTGTGTTGTAGTATTTATATTTGTATTATTACTTTTCTAAATGGAAAAGGAAAAAATGTATTGGCCTTTTTATTCTTTGAAAAACATAAATGAACTTCACAAGCAACAATTTTTCAAAACCAATTTTCCCTTTTGTGAATCTAGTAATGAATCTTGAAATGGGTACATGACACACTTTCATATTTAAGGTAAAGTACACATTTATAAATACCTTATATCACAATAGTCAGAAGTAAGGTTTTTATTGTAAAGTTAGTAATGTAAATATCAATAAGGATATGTTGATACTTAGCTTTTTGAAACATTGATCATTTATAAATCCCTGAGTTCATTAATTGAATACTTTTTTGAGAATTTTTGTAGTGTTCCCTAACTTGATGACCATAGGCTCTTTGTGATGGCTTTTGCTTCTATCTATGCTGGCTTTGAGCACATTAGATTTATTTTCTTTAGCTTTGATTTTTGAATGTAAGTGTAATTGCTTATTTCATATTTTGACAGAACAAAGAGGACACAAAGAATCATTGTTTACACGCACTCTTGTAATAATTGTGAGGGTAGAACAACTAGCTTAAGTGTTGTTATTCTTTCCCCAGTCTGTCCTTTTTTAAGAATTGGTCTCTTGTCCATTACCTCCCATTCCTTTGACCTCACTCACATCTTTGTTTTTTTCGATGTTAGAGTCAGAGAACCTAATGCTTCGTAACTCCAAATGTTGAAGTTTTAAAAAAGAAGGAAGGTTCTCTGCGTTGAGAAAATATATTGGAAAAAGTTCAAGGTTCAAGAATAATTCATTGATCTAGATTTATAGATTTGTGTTTTGAGCTCAGGTGAGTTTTCATAGTATGAAGTGGAAAAGAATCCCAAGATAATTATGGTATCATAAAGCTAGATATCGAAAACCAAAACTACTTGACCTTAGTATGACATTTCAAATTCAAAAACACTGAACACTGAATGACAGTTTTTGAAACTGATCAATGCTTTTTAAAAATCAAGGTAAAATATATTCAGAACCTACGTCTCAGTGTTGTATGTTTAGTATAGCTTCTGAAATTAGTTGTCAATGGATGACAAAGTAAATGATTGATTTTTTTTCCCTTTCCCCCATGGGATTTATTTTTTTACTCATAGGTAGTATATTTATACAGAAAGGCAGGGATCTTCAACCTTTTCCATGTTAGCAGCTCATATATTTAAGGCTAGAGGATGACTATTTGGGGGCAGTTTGGGTACTTAATTCTAAGTGGCTCTCTAATGTTTTAGTTGACTATTTTCCTATTTATGAGTAAAGCTTCTGCGCTAGTAGGATGAGCCTGTTTACCTTGTGACTGCCTAACCTGATACATTGCTTTATGTTCCAGTTTTTAGAAGCAGGCAGATTATATTACCTGCATTAAAATGCTTTTGAGACTAAAGGTAGTATCTTAAATTTTAACTTACAAATTTCCTTTAAGTTCAACTTTGGATAAATAATGGGGATTGAGTTTTCATAGCTTCCACCATAGTAAAAATGGAAAGCAGGAAACATGTCACAGCAAAACCTGAACTTGTTTATCTAGACTTAATAGAACCTATGAGCAAAAAAAGAATTTACTGTTTTTTTTTAATGTGTGAGTCATTGGCAGATGAGCATGGTACATTGAAACTTAATTGTTCTATTTCTCAAATTCTAACATCTCTGCGTAGTTATATTGTATAGTTACAGTAACTTACAGTAAGTCCCCAAACCTACTTAGGTTTACACTATATATTTTACATTTTAAAATAATTTTTTGAGTTTTCAAATAGAAGTGTTAAATGTTTTCTGAATTAGATCACATTATTTGAAATAACTACTGAGTTAAAGAATCAGTTTGTGTATGTCATATTATATATTTTAAATGGTTTGCATTGTTACCTAGTTTCTTTTCTTTCAGTGTTTCAATGTAGGTTTTTATTGGTTTATTATATGTGGTTCACTTTCTTTTTAGGAAGCCATCATTCTTCAGAGGGGAATGAAGGAGCAGAAATGGAAGTACCAGCAGAAGGTTAGAAATAAAGGGACTTTTATTTTGCTGTATTTGTATGATGTTTGTGTTCTGTATTACAGAGAATACTATCCTTAAGACATCTTATTCGGAAATTAAAAGATGATTGTTTTGGTATACCTTCTTAGCCAACAGGTTTATTTTCTTTTTAGTCCTAAGATGTAATATACCTCTTTTACTATACTGACTAGTAAAGCATATGGGGACGAAAACTTAAGTGGTAAGTAAAACTCTTCCTGATGCAAAGTGTTGCCCCTTTTTTTCCTGATCATCTTGTGCCATATTAACACTTTTTAAAGAAAGAAAAGCTTTAGTATGTTAGAATTATAATTATTACTGTCTCAGTTCCTATTTCAGTTGTTTTTTTAATATATTTTACTGATTATGCTATTATAGTTGTCCTATTCCCCCTCTTCACTCCCCTCCACCCTGCACACCCTCTTCCACCCACATTCCCCCCCTTTAGTTCATGTCCATGTGTCATAAGTTCTCTAGCTTCTACATTTCCCATACTATTCTTGCCCTCCCCCTGTCTATTTTCTACCTACCATCTACGCTACTCATTCTCTGTACCTTTTCCTCCTCTCTCCTCCTCCCACTCGCCTGTTGCTAACCGTCCATGTGATCTCCATTTCTGTGGTTATGTTCCTGTTCTAGTTATTTGCTTACTTTGTTTTTGTTTTTGTTTTAGGTGTGGTTGTTAATAATTGTGAGTTTGCTATCATTGTACTGTACATGTTTTCTATCTTCTTCTTAGATAAGTTCCTTTAACATTTCATATAATAAGGGCTTGGTGATGATGAACTCCTTTAACTTGACCTTATCTGAGAAGCACTTTATCTGCCCTTCCATTCTAACTGAAAGCTTTGCTGGATAGAGCAATCCTGGATGTAGGTCCTTGCCTTTCATGACTTGGAATACTTCTTTCCAGCCCCTCCTGCCTGCAGAGTCTCTTTTGAGAAATCAGCTGACATTCTGATGGAAACTCCTTTGTAGGTGACTGTCTCCTTATCTCTTGCTGCTTCTAGGATTCTCTCCTTCATTTTTACCTTGGCTGATGTAATTATGATGTGCCTTAGTGTGTTCCTCCTTGGATCCAACTTCTTTGGGACTCTCTGAGCTTCCTGGACTTCCTGGAAGTCTATTTCCTTTACCAGATTGGGGAAGTTCTCCTTTATTATTTGTTCAAATATCTTTTCCACTTGTTGCTCTTCCTCTTCTCCTTCTGGTACCCCTATAATTGGGTGTTGGAATGTTTAAAGATGTCCTAGAAGTTCCTAAGCCTCTCCTCATTTTTTTGAATTCTTGTTTTTTCATCATTTTCTGTTGGACGTTTCTTTCTTCCTTCTGGTCCACTCCATTGATTTGAGTCCCAGTTTCCTTTTCATCACTATTGGTTCCCTGTGTATTTTCCTTTATTTCACATAGCATAGACTTCATTTTTCCACCAAAATGCAACCAAATTAAACCAATTCTGTGAGCATCCTGATCACCCGTGCTTTGAACTGTGCATCTGATAGGTTGGGTATCTCTTCGTTGCTTAGTTGTATTACTTCTGGAGCTTTGATCTGTTCCTTGGTTCGGGCCATTTTTTTTTGTCTTAATGCGGCTGTTATGTAGTGAGGGGCGGAGCCTTAGGGCGGGGCAAGCCACATGGTGGGTTGTGTCCCTGTATTTGGGGGAGGGGTCTGGGAGAGAACAATGGCACTTGCTCCACTCTGCCTGATCCCGGTCTCTTCTGCTGCTTCTGCCGAGCAAACTGGGCCCTTCTGGTGCTGATTGCTGGGTGAGTGGGCTTGCATACATTCTAGGACCCTGTGGGTCTCTCCAAGGAACTCTCCTGTGAGGCTGGGAGTCTCTCCAGGCACCTCAACCCCTACAGGTGTTTCCAATTGGTGTTTGTTTGTTCATTTGTTTTTTGTGTTTTTTTTTTTCTTTTTATTTTTAGAGAGGGAAGGGAGGGAGAAAGAGAGAGAGAAACATCAATGGGGGCCATGGCGTGCCTGCAACCCAGGCATGTGCCCTGGCTGGGAATTGGACCTGCAACACTTTGGTTCGCAGCCCACGCTCAATCCACTGAGCTGCGCCAGCCAGGGCCTCCAATTGGTGTTTTAAGGCTTTATTTCCCCTAGCTGGAGCTCTGTGTTTTGGAGTCTGTCTGGCTCACTAGTTTCGCCTGGTTTATCTGCACATGAATGTGGGATGGCCCAGGGTCTGCCAGCCACAGCGTGCGCGCTGGAGTCCACTAGCCACTGCTTTTTTTGTCATGACCCATCTTCCCATGGCTGCTAGACTCACCCCACCTACCTGTCTAGATGAATGTGTCTACGTTAACTCCTTGGTTGTCGGACTTCCATACAGTTCAATTTTCTGTCAGTACTGGTTCTTTTTTTGTTTCTAAATTGTTGTTGTCCTTATTTTGGTTGTGTGGGGAGGCACTCTGTGTCTACATATGCCCCCATCTTGGCTGGAAGTCCCTATTTCAGTTTTAAACAAACTATTCAATGGTGTCAATTTTGAAAGTAGGATACTATATGCTATATAAGATAAATAAAAGAAAGTTTTCCTCTGTGCTTATTTTATACCCACAACTACCCCATGAACCACATTCTCTATTTATCAGCCATCCTCCTTTACTCTCAGGGTTGAATGAATATTTAGCTGTGGTACAGCTTTTTTATTTCCTGGAATCTTGAGTTAAACTGTTAGGATGTAGAATGGCTTCCTATTTCTAAGCGGTTTATATCGTTTAAAAACAGCTTTTATAGATTGTTCCCAAGGAAAATTACTGGTAAGTTAACCGAATCTTGTTGTAGAATTACTTCTCTCATAGACTGGTTGTGTTGCACCTTATTTTTCTAGGTTAAAAATGAAGTCTGTTTTGTAACTTTATAGTCTGTATATTTGCTTTTTTTATTTTTAAAATCCATTACTTTGATCTTTTACCTTCTCTGAGTGGAGGGACTTCTTAATCTTTCCAAATTCAATTTTGTAAGTAAGGTTTCTAACTGGAATACATTTTTTGCAGAAATAGTAATATGCTCATTTTAAACAGTATTTTAGATTTTTCAGTTTTTTTAGAAGATAGTGTACATGAATTTTTTTTTCTGTGTGGAGATAATTAAATACTTCTGATGTAACAAAATTTCTATTTTGCAGAGGTGGTATTTACAAGAAAATACCGATATATAATATACATGGAGCAGGTTTCATCAGGCACCATGAATTACTTCACAGTTTACAATTCTATAATTAGATATTAGGCTTTTACATACTTTATTTTTGAGGAGATTTTTGTTGTTTTATGGCAGTGTTAATAGAGTTGAATCAAACCTGGGTTCTGGTCTTCATTCCTTTACTAACCAATAAACAATCTTTGGCAAATCAATTAATCTCTCAACCTTTGCAAAATCAAAGAGAGTTGATAAAGATACTTTCTAGCTTCTAGCACTAACATTCTGATGTACATATATTTGTTTGGTGCAGTAATACAAATATTAATGAAATTTTTAATTTTTAAAAGAATCTTGCATATAAAATTAGGGGATGTAGTCCTGTTTGCATTTTTATTGTCATTGTCTTAACCTAAAGGTCCCCACTGCAAACAACTGTGGTTGGATTTAACAATTAAATCATTCCTAGGATTTCTGAAAGCAGAGGAGAAATAGTAAAAACAGGAAAGAAAAAATTAAAGCCTTTATTTTCATTTTAGTGTTTTCTAGTTATACTAGGGAAATAATTGCGACTTTATTATAACCTTAGTCCCCTAAAAATAGAAGTTTTTTGAGTCCATCAATGCAGGTAACTTGGTATTACCTAATAGTTTTCCAGAAGTTTTCTACTTTTTGTTTTTTTATCCCTATTTCTAAGTAAAGAGGCTAGGTATTTTAGTAAATATGAGATGAAATAAAATGCCAGTAAAACTTTATAGTAGGCTGCTTTTGGAGTATCAGATCAATAAAATGTTGGAACATAGAAAGTGCTTTATAATGAATGTCATTTTAGAATTTTTTTTCAAGATTCTACTCAACATGTCCCTTCAGAAACAAGTGAGGACCCTGAAGTTGAGGTGACAATTGAAGGTTAGTTATTGAAAAGCCTTGATTCCAAAAGTTTACTTCTGGTCATGAAAACACTTGTCACATTCACATTTCTAAGTATGCATTTCATTCATTCTTAAAGGAAACTTGTGATAAGAATTGATGCATATATGTGTATGTCTAACCAAAGCAGCCCACTTCCCAGCAGTGCACCCAGTGCTTTGGGAGTTTTAGACAACAAAAGTAAGCTGTGAAAATGAGCAGTGGACCAGGCTGTACCCTGTCATTGGGAATTGAAAATAAACAATGAAAACTATGACCAGACTGGATGCACATGAAGTCAAATTCTGTACTCTGTTATTGGGTTGTGCTAGCTCGATCTAATTAGTATCAGTAACCCCTGTTATCTCCTTGAGTAAAGTGGAGAAGAAAGTGATGATAGGTAAGTCAATTTTTAAAGGGAGTTTTCTCCTAAAATACTATTAGGCTAACATATAACCTGTTCTTAAAAAGTGTTTTTGAATCAGTAGGTACAAATATATTCTAAACTAATCTTTATAGCCAAAGTTGCTTTAAACCTAGTTTTTTCTTCAAAGATAATGCATGAATGCAGATGAGCAGGTTTATCCTGAATTATTATTATTATTTTTAATATATTTTATTGATTATGCTATTACAGTTGTCCTATTTCCCCCTTCACTCCCCTCCACCCTGCCCAACCCCTCCCACCCACTTTCCCCCGCTTTAGTTCATGTCCATGTGTCATAAGTTCTTTAGCTTCTACATTTCCCATACTATTCTTGCCCTCCCACTGTCTATTTTCTGCCTATTGTCTATGCTACTTATTTTCTATATCGTTTCCCCCCTCTCCTCCTCCCACTTCCCTGTTGCTAACCCTCCATGTGATCTCCATTTCTGTGCTTCTGTTCCTGTTCTATTTGTTTGCTTAGTTTGCCTTTGTTTTA